AGCTATGTCATATAAATCTGACAGCAAGTTCGGATGCAGACTCTTCAGAAAACAGCAAGTCTTTTGCACCTGCGAATATACAAACACAAGAATCAGTATTCAGAAGTATACGTGGAGAATTTCGAAGAACTAGTGCGTTAAAGTAAAATTAAGTGGACATAACAATATCGTGCTTACCTCTGGAAATCGGAAGGGCGGGCTGGGCGGGGGGAAGCGTGCGGATGGATGGAGGCGGTGGTGGGCGATCTCCAGGTGTTGTCCAAATGAAGCGTCAGACCAGCACGTCAGCGTGAAGACAGGCAACAGCAGCACTCCCAACGTGTCAGAGCGCCACGTACGGCTTGCAAATGCAGAGCAAAAGTTTGGCTTGAGCAGAAGTTTGGCTTGAGCAGAATCGTCACTGCGAAAAACGAAAACAGAAGAATCAGTAATCAGAGGTTTACACGAAACAATAACATTCAAGCCGAAACAAATAGAAATAAAAACATTATGCTTACATTTGGAGATCGAAGGGTAGGCTGGGCGGGGGGCGGTGTGCGGATGGCGGCGGGTTGAAGGTTGGCGATGGGGGCGAATGGTTGGTGGGCGATCTCCAAGGTTTATGAGCTCAGACGAATGAAGCTCGTTGATGACGGGAATTATGGTGGTCGACCTCGGGACGCTTGAAAATGCAGAGCAGGAGTTCGGCACGCTTGAAAATGACCGGCACTTCGGCTTGAGCAGCACTTCGGCTTGAGCAGCACTTCGGCTTGAGCAGCACTTCGGCTTGAGCAGCTCGTATGCAGATTCGCATGGACTTGTCTTTTGTTCCTGCGATAAACGAACACAGAAGAGTCAGTGGTCGGAGGTTTACACAAATAAATACTGAAACAATGACATTCAAAAAACGTCGAAGTCGAAACAAAGACATAAGAACATTATGCTTACATTTGGAGATCGAAGGGTGGGCTGGGCGGGGGGCGGTGGGCGGATGGCGGCGGGTTGAAGGTTGGCGATGGGGGCGAATGGTTGGTGGGCGATCTCCAGGGTTTATGAGCTTAGAAGAATGAAGCTCGTTCATGACAAAATTACGGTGGGCGACCTCCAGGGCGCATGGTCGTCGGGCGAATGAAGCTCGTCGATGACGAAACATATTGTGGTCGACCTTGGGAATTATGAGCTTAAAGCTTTCTGACTCTAACTGTGTTATATACAGGCTACCGAACACATAGGCAGTGTGTCTAGCGGCTCGACTTTCTCCTTGCGGATACGTTTGTGTCTCTGCTCTGTGAGGAGTCTCCCTGGGCATCCTTGGAGCAAGGTGAGGATGGAGCAGACGCGGTGGTTGGGGCACTACAAGCCGAAAACTACAGTGTCAGAGCAACCCTGTGGGATGTGGTGGTCACCACCACCTTGTGCGGGTAAACAAAAACATTTTGGGTAGATATACCAGCACGCAATATATATCCCATGTCAACAAACAAGAAAGTAGACCTGTATCATTGCTGATTTGTGATTTATTCGAAGCTGTTGCCAGCATAAAAAAATTGCGTTTCAAAAACACACAACCGAAATGACAAAGCAGGGCACGGGCGGGACGCGCGACAGGGAAAAGGCGGGAGAGGAGAGTTTGTCGGCGGAACTGTTCGTGAAAACCGAGGGGCATGTGCTGCAGGGTGCCAGGAAGATGTACGCGCGACCTGCTTCAAAAGTCGTCGACCACTCCTTGCGAGCGGTACTTACAGCCTGTCACCTTGCGACGACGCTGGTTGGACAACAACTCGTCAGGAGATAACAGACGAAATATTGCGAAGGGGATAAGATCACAAACAACTCGCCTTGGTCCACAAAAACCACACAGCCGAGGCGCGTTTTCTGACGACTGTTCATATTTGGGGGACAGAAATGCGGGAAAGGGGAGGGCGGCAAACAGTGTGTTGACGTCACAGCACATACGCCACCGAAGGATGAACCATCCTCAAAGTCTTGCGATGCGAAGCTGCCTTGTGGATTGATGGCAACGACACAAGCGACCAAAAATGCTGTCATGCTGGCCAAATCACGCACGGTGCTGTTTCGTAGTGATAAGATTCGCCACATCACCAACTTGAAGACCACTCGCCTCGACCCTCCACGCCCATCCGCTGTACACACCAGCCTAATCAGACCAGACCAACCGATAAGAAAAATCTGACAAGAATGATTCAACTGTATATATAGATCATCAAAACAGAGCGCATTTCTTGGAATTGCAGACTACATACAAAATATAACACAACTACGGTAAATGTTTGTGTTCTGGATTTAAAGCCAGCAGCTAAACTAGTGACCCCCCCCTTCTAGTTGGGTCCACTTGAAAACACAAGTTCGTTACGAACGTTTGAAAAGTTGACGGCCTGTGCGTTTTTACTTTTTTTTCATCCCAGACGAGTCTTGATCTGAACGGGAAACATGAGGAACTTGTTTACAAATCTTATTGGTGGCGACTTTCACCCACATTCGTATGCGAATTTGGCACAAGGCTGCAATCCCACATTCAACATAGCAGCCGTCGTAACTTCACAAGAATTCCCATATGCAAAAAAAAGCGCACACACAGGCAAAATCCAGCGCGCACAGGCAAAAACTCGCAAAATCCTGCGCGAACACTGACATGATCAAGCAAAATCCATGGCACACACAGGTGAAATCAGGCGAAGAAGATATAAATAAAGAAATTAATGATGTACGAAAAGAGAAAGGGCGACGGGACGGTTGATTGGTCGACGGCGAAGAGAAGGGACTGGGGACAAGGGGGCTGACGGGAGAGGAGGGGAGAGAGGGGGAACGACGGGATGGGAGGGGAGAAGGGAAAAACGACGGGATAGGAAGGAAGAGAGGAGGAACGACGGGATGGGAGGGGAGAGAGGAAGAAAGACGGGATGGGAGGGTAGAGCGGAGGAACGACGGGATGGGAGGGTAGAGAGATAGAGCGACGGAAAGGGAGGGGAGAGAGATAGAGCGACGGGAAGGGAGGGGAGAGAGATAGAGCGACGGGAAGGGAGGGGAGAGAGATAGAGCGATGGGATGGGAGGGGAGAGAGATAGAGCGACGGGATGGGAGGGGAGAGAGATAGAGCGACGGAAAGGGATGGGAGAAGGCGATTGCAACGGAAAGGGAGCGGCGAGAGAGAGAGAGCGACGGGAAGGGAGAGGAGAAGGCGATTTGTTGAGGAAAGGGAGCGGCGAGAGAGAGAGAGAGAGAGCGACGCGCAGGGAGCAGCGAGAGAGAGAGCGCGACGGGAAGGGAGCGGCGAGAGAGAGAGAGCGACGGGAAGGGAGGGGAGAGAGCAAGAGCGACGGGATGGGAGGGGAGAGAGATAGAGCGACGGGATGGGAGGGGAGAGAGATAGAGCGACGGAAAGGGATGGGAGAAGGCGATTGCAACGGAAAGGGAGCGGCGAGAGAGAGAGCGACGGGAAGGGAGAGGAGAAGGCGATTTGTTCAGGAAAGGGAGCGGCGAGAGAGAGAGCGACGCGCAGGGAGCAGCGAGAGAGAGAGCGCGACAGGAAGGGAGCGGCGAGAGAGAGAGCGACGGGAAGGGAGGGGAGAGAGCAAGAGCAACGGGATGGGGGGGGAGAGAGATAGAGCGACGGGAAGGGAGGGGAGAGAGATAGAGCGACGGGAAGGGAGGGGAGAGAGATAGAGCGACGGGAAGGGATGGGAGAAGGCGATTGCAACGGAAAGGGAGCGGCGAGAGAGAGAGCGACGAGAAGGGAGAGGAGAAGGCGATTGGTTCAGGAAAGGGAGCGGCGAGAGAGAGATTTGCGACGGGAAAATCGCGAGGGTGATTGGAGGAGAGGGGTAATGGAGATGACGGTAGGAGGGCGACGGGACGTCGACGGGACGGACGACATGATCGCGACGCGACGGTCGATGGGACGGCGTCAGGATGGTCGATGGGACGGCGTCAGGACGGTCGATCGGAACGGGAGGGCGAGCGAGATGAGATAGGAAGGCGGCGAGAGGGCATTCGAAACGGCACAAAGTACTACACAACCATGCCAGCTTCACTACGCGTCTAAATTGAAACAACAACGGCCTAAGTTGACGGTTCGATGGCTAGACATGCTACACATAACTAAGAAGCTGAGATGTATGATCGGAAGAACTAGTAGTTGTTCACCCAGACCCAACTTGAACCCCAAGCTGGGCCCAAAATCGCAAGGACGTGCATGAGCGATCGCAATGCTAGTGTTGTGCAGCTTCCAAAACTGATATGCGACGCCTGACGTGCTGTGTTCCTTTTTTTGGTTTTGGCGGGAACCAATCAGATGTGTTGGATCTGCAAAAACGCTCTCAATGAAACACTGGAAACTTGTCGGTTTGGTTCCAAAATTGTTTCGCACGGCAAGCCCTCTTTCAAGTTGGCGTTGGGTTCACTATTTTGCATTTCGGTTTTAACAAGGCTAGGAGTACTAAACCAATCATCGCATGCATCGATCGAGGGAAGGAAGTGCGGGTTCACCTAGTTCCAACATGTGAAAACAATAGCTTGTCTACAGTTTGGTCCCCTCATGTCCAGCCACTCATTGAAAGCTCCACCTACTGTTATTGTGCCAGGCGATTGGAAAGACCTAAAATAGTGACTCGGACCTGAAAATTCAGCATGCAGCCTTTGGCTGTGTCAACCTGGCTTAGGCTGGGGATGAACCTGAAAGTGGTGAGCAACACACTGAAGACTGTTGCTTTGTTCTGTAGGCGTGTCGATGCGCATCGAATGACATGAAGACCCCTGCAGAGCAGGATGAACTGTACTGCTGATCACAGTGTTAGTCTGCTGCACTGGCTCATCTGGTACACCTCAGCTAATTGCTTGATGGCTTTCGACTTGACTAAAGAATCAACCATTGGATGAAATGTTCATATATGCCAGCGCAGCCGACAGGTGGCACACCTCTGTGAATTGCTTGATTGCGCGATCAAACTGGCAGCCCTGGAAGAGGGTACAATGGAGAGGCGTGGCGGGAGGGAGACAGGGCATCAAGAGAAGGGAGGGAGATGCTGACATGGGGAAGGAAGAGACATGCGGAAACGGGTACACCTCCCTTTTAAATTCCTCAGACCTCCCATCACTGCCACGCATCTCATACCTCACCTCCCAGTAGAGGTGGTGGCACTGGCAGCACTGTCAGAACTCCTCCACTCGATCCAACACAAGGCTGGACACCACCTGATACCATAACACCACCTATGCTGACATTTGAGATGTTTCGAAAGGCTTACACACATGTAAGGGCCCACCTCCCAGTACAGGTGCTGGCACTGGCAACACTGCCAGAACTCCTCCACTTGAGCCAAGACATGACCCGGCACAATCTGTGTCCATGGCGCTGCTGCTGCTGCCTCTGAGATGTTTCAAAAGTTTCTCAAGCATGTCAGGGCTCACCTCCCAGTACAGGTGGTGGCACTGGCAGCACTGCCAGAACTCCTCCACCCTCGCCAACACGTGACTCGGCACCACCTGAGTCCACGGCGCCGCCGCTGCTGCCTCCGAGGGCCCCAGCGCCTGCGGCTTTAAGGTGCCGTTGCAGCGGATGCAGCGCGAGAGCAGCGAGGACTCGCACAGGAGCAGGCGGAACGCGGTTACCACCTCACGGAGTTGCTCGCGCTTGTCGGTGCTTTTAATGAGGTGCATGTGGCTGGGCGGCAGCAGGCGGCGCCGGAAGAGCTTCACGCCCCTCGTTAGAAGCACACGGCCCTCCCTCTCCCGCCACTCTATCAGGTTCTTGTGGAAGGGTGAGGAAGCAGGGTGGGCAGGGTAGGAACAGAGGCAGCACAAGCTCATTTGGCATGATACAATCGCAATAGGAATCCCTTCTTGTCAAACTTCGCGTGCCCAATCTACCCGACCATCATCCAAGCTCAACCATACCATACCTGGTGTCACACGTGCCTCGGCCGAGAGTCTTGGGAGAGGCGGTGTCAACGCCCACACAGCGCAGCTGCCGTGCCAGCCCCTCCACCATGGAATCACACAGGAACCGCGCCTGCCCATCCCCTCCCCGCGACTCATCCCACGGCGGCACCGATCCGCTCCCATGCATGTCGTTTTGGCGCACTGCATGCCATGGTGACACCAGTCCGTTGTGTGGCGTGTCAGCACGAGCATCCCCTGAGGGCATTGCATCGTTTGAGCATGCTCCATTGCGACATCATTCAGACTCGCACGCTACAGCCCTGCCTGCTGCTTCTCCTCCTGTCCCTCGCCCTGACTCCCGCCTCCCCCTCCTTGGTCCCCCCCTGCCGCCTCCTCCCCGTCCTCTCTCATCCTGCTCTCTCGTGCCTGTCTCCTCCCTTTCCTTGAGTTCAACCGCTTCCCTGAGCCACCCCTCCCCTTCCCTGCTCCCCCTTGGCCTGAACTCGCCCTCCCGCTGCCGCTAGTGATGCTGTTGCTGCCAGCGCCAGTGCTGGTGCTGTTGCTTGTGCAAGTGCCGTCCGTGCTCGTTCCAAGAGACCGCACCTTGCCAGTGATGTGGCATAGAGAGAGCGTGTGAGAGTGTTCCTCTATGAGTGCAGACAGGGCAGCTACGAGAGTGGTGTTGGTGGTGGTGGTGGGAATGGTTGCGTCGAGGGGCGAGGGTGCATTGTTACTGTTTTGATGCTGCTGATGCTGATAATGATGATGCTGATGATGCTGCTGCTGCTGATATTGTTGCTGCTGCTGCAGGGTGTGCATGAATGTGTGGTGTGACTGTAAGGATGGTTGTACTGGTGGGAGTGCAGGCGTGACTGTACATGCAGTTATCAAAACAGATGCAGGCGGGAAGCGCTGATGAACAACACAAGGGGATGCTGACGAGGATGCTGACGAGGATGATGCTGACTGGGATGGTGACGGGGATGGGCCTGCATCCACTGCTGCTAGTCCAAGCTGCCCCTTTCCATGCACAGACAGAGCATGTGGGGAGACAGCGTGAGGGCATAGTGCATGAGCAGAGAGGGCGTGGGGGCGCAGGGCGAGGGGGAGCAGGGCGAGCGCCATATGAATGAGACAGAGAGTGGGAGGATCGGGTCCAAGGGTGAAGACGCTGACGGTTGTGATTGGATCTGGGACAAAATGTCCTGATGCCTCGTGTGGTGTCACGAATTCGAATTACTGCTGCTGCGTTGCTGGAGGGGATGTCGGCGACGATTGCATCTGCGACAGCCGTGAATGCGACGGTTGGGCCTGCGACTGGAACTGGGGACGCTTCTCCTCCAAAAGCTGGTCGTCGCGCAACACGCCGCGGTGGAGGTTCTGAGCCACGTGGCGTGAGGGGATTCGCGGAAGCGAGTGGGAGTTGAAAAACGCGACTAAACACCATGAGCAGACGAAGCGGATATGTGCAATGCCTTAAGTGCCACTTAGTGTCAATGACACAGTGAAAACAGTGCTGAGAGAATATAACCGTGACTGAATGATGGAGGAAGACAAAAATATAGGCAATGAGAAGAGGTAGCACACCTCTCGCTCCTTCACTTGCAACTGGTGCACGTATGCGACGCCAGCGACAGTCGCGAGGACCGTTACACCTAGAAGCACCTTTGCACGTCTATTGGACATGTCGCAGACAATGCCTTGGAGCAGCAAGGATCTGAACGGGAAACGACAGTATATAGGGTAAGGAGCGCAGGAAGCTGGTTGCGTGTGAAGTGCGACAAGCTTGAAGCGCGAGCAGGCAAAGACAGCAACCTTGGGATTCCCGAAACTGTGGGGGCAAGAGCAGAAGAGTGCTGGAGTGGAAGTCGCAGGGAATTCGTACGCCCTGGATGCGGAGATGGAGTCCTTGACTCGTTATAGGCTCTCGCAGTACCACCACGAGCTTTCTTCATAGCCTAGTGCAGAAGCACTTTGTGTTCATTTTGAAAGCTAACCCAACCCATTTCAACCGAAGCAACAAACAAGCACAGCCCTCGCTTGATCATTTCCCCCTTCATGCCAAATTTCCCAAGCTCGAACTTACGTACTCGGCGTGGACTATCCAAAATGCAGCGCAGCAATCGACGCGTAGAAATGCGAGTTCTTGTCCTCGCGGCGATCGCAGCCGTCTGTCTCCCGTGGGGTATCCTCGTTACCCGCTCATACCTCGCTGTCTCCCGTCTTCACTCCCTCTCCTACCTCCCACATGTGCACCTACAAAGCAGTTTCGGTAATATCATACCGTAATGTCCGCATGTAATGCACATAGAATGTAATGCCTAGGAAGGAATGCAAGCTCTATGATAGCAGCTATTTGTTTGACACTGTCGCTAGCTTTTTCGTCCAGAGAGCACGTTCTGGGCTCGGCAAATTATTACCTGCCGAGAGTGAGACCGTCAATACTGCGTACGGCAAATTCTGGGTTTCCAATGCCACCAAGGACCTACCATAAATTTCGCGCCACTTTAGTCACAGGCGCACAGACCATCATCCCCCGCGTACTTGACACGCCATCGCCATGGCGGACGAGGCAGAGCGCGCCAAGCCGAAGCCGTTCAAGGTGGAGTACGCCAAGTCGGCGCGCGCGAGCTGCCGGAAGTGCAAAGAGAGCATCGCCAAGGACGCCTTCCGCATCGCCAAAGTCGTCGAGTCCAAACAGTTCGACGGCTTCATGACGGTAATGCGCTCATAGTGGCTTCGGATTTCATTATGGATACATCTCGCATTGCGTCACTTTCGATGGCTCTAATGACTCTGAAATTCATGGCGTTATTCCTCTCTGGTTAGTGTCCTGTGATTGAAGGCATTACAGTCATGCACGCGCCGTTCCGCCTCCCCTGCATCTCCCTCCATTCTCACTCTCCGCTCTCAACCTTATTCCGCTCCCTCTTCTCAATTTGCATCTCATCCTCCCTTTTTCCGTATTGCGCCTTCTACTTCTCATTCCGCCCATGCCTCTCCCATCCCCCCTTCTCCGCTACCATGTGCGCGGAGCAGCTGTGGTTCCACGCGAGCTGCATCTTCAAGGCGCCGGGATTCATCACCAAGTCAGTGCCCCCCTGCCCCTCCTGCCACCAATGCTCCCCTGCTCCCCTGCTCCCATGCTCGTCTGCTCGTCTGCTCCTATCCCCTTTACCGCCTCTGTCTCTGCCCCTTCCGCACGGTTCTCCCTAGCACCGTCGCCTCTCAACGCCACGACGTATCCCCTCCCGTCTCCCCCTGCCAGCGTGGGCGACGTGGAGGGCGCGGACGTGCTGCGCTGGGAGGACCAGCAGGCGCTCCGGGCGTACGCCAAGGGGGAGGGGGGCGCGCAGGGCGCGCAGGGCGCGGGGGGCGAGGGGAAAGCGGAGAAAGCAGGGAAAGCAGGCAAAGGGGGAAAGGGGAAGGCTGCTGCGGCTGCGGGGGCGAAGAGTGACGGGGGGAAGAGCGAAGGGAAAAGCAAGGGGAAAAGGGGGAAGGCAGTGGCGGATGATTCAGGTTCGGAGGGGGAAGGAGCAGCGGCGGGGACGGTGGCTGGCTTTCAGGTGGCGTATGCTGCAAGCAACCGGTCGGCGTGTCGGCACTGCAATGAGAAGATCGCCAAGGGCGAGGTCAGCCGCTGCTGCCCCCTTCCAATGCTCCGCCCTGAATGCCCCCCCTGCCCTGCTCCCCATGCCATTATTCCCTGCAACCCTTCTGACCCCATTTGCGTTATGAATCAAACCATGTTTGTCCACCCCAGTCCATCCATACACTGACCCTAAACCACCTGTCCTACACGTGAGCATCAGTAGAGAGGGGGGCGCATGGAGGGCGCATGGAGCCTAGTTGGTGTCTGAGAATGGAAAAATTAACGTGCCACTCCGTGCTGCCACTGCGTGCACCTGTCCTCTGCCACCCGTGAACCGCAGCTGCGAGTGGCGCGCATGGAGGCGTCGAGTCGCGGCATGGAGGTGCCGGCATGGCGCCACGCGGCGTGTGTGGGGGACGAGGGCATCTGGCCCCAAGGGGCGCGCGTGCAGGCCGTGCAGGGGTGGGGCGAGCTTCAAAAGGAGGATCAGCAGCGCCTGCTGCAGCTGCTGGGAGGGGGTGCTGAGGGGAAGGGCACGGGGGGAGGTGAGTGTACGGTGTGTGGGTGGGAGGCATTGGATGGGCATTTGTTGCCTAGTTGTACCTGCTTGTGCCGTTTCTGTGTCTATATGCTCCTATCTGATCGACACCCTCTCCTCCTCCACCATCCCACCATGACCCTTCAGAGCCCCCCAAGAAGCGGCAGCGAGGGGCGGAGCAGGACGGAGGAGGCGAGGAAGGCAGCAAGCGCAAGGGCAAGGGGAAGGAGGACGTGAAGCCACAGGACGCAGGGAAGGGCGAGGAGGGGAAGATGAGCTTGGAGCTAGAGCGGGCGTTGGAGCAGCAGGCTCGGCGGGTGTGGGAGGTGAAGGACCAGCTGCGCGCCCACCTGACTGTAGTAGACATGCGCGCCATGCTGGAGGCCAATCAGCAGGAGCCAGGTGGCAGCGAGGATGCCCTGAGGGAGCGGTGTGCGGACGGCATGCTGTTTGGCCCCCTGCCGCCCTGCCAGCTGTGCGCGTCCCCCATGGAGTACTGGGACGGGCGGTACCGCTGCCGCGGGTTCCTCTCCGCTTGGTCTGCTTGCACCTTCTCCACTCGCGACGTGCAGCGCAAGGAAGCTGCCTGGGTGGTTCCTGATGAGATTACCAACCCGTTTGTTGATGTGAGTAGACGGGTGGGTCAGCAGTGGTTGATGGACCTTATGCGTTTGAAATTCTGGCTTGTTTTCTTCGCTCCTGCGCTCACTGCTTTCTTCCCTACGCATTCCACTGCTGCCAGGAGTACCGGGCGGAGCAGCAGCGACGGTTCCAGGCAGCCGACAAGAGGAAGGGCAAGGGGCGGGGCAAGGGGAAAGGCAAGGGGAAGGCGGAGGGGAGCGAGGGGGGGGAGGAGGGGGCGAGTGTGTGGCCACAGCGGGTGCTGCCCCCAGAGGAGAAGCGCAGTGAGGTGAAGCAGGCGAGCACGGCAGGGGCGGGGGGGAAGGAAGCGAGCCGGGGGAAGGGCGGTAGAGCAGCGAGGGAGGCGCGGGAGGCAGCGATACCGGATGGGGGAGTGGAGCGTGAGAAGCCGCTGGAGGGGGTGCATGTGGCGCTGCTGGGGCGCCTGTCCCGCACCCAGGCGGCGTGGCGCAAGGAGATCGAGGAGGGTGGTGGTGCTGTGGTGCCGTTGACGAGCGCGGGTGAGTGAGTGTGCTGGCAAGCTGTTCTTGCGTGTGGAGTTGTTTCGTGAGGTTTGCTGCCCACAGAAGCATCGCGCTGATTTGATTCACATTGCTCTTTCTGTCGGGGTTTCCTGCCGTGACAGTGCTTCCATTCCATCATCGCTCCACCATCCGCCGTGCTTTCCTTGCCTTCCCCTCATTCCCGTTTGTTTCTCTCCTGCTGCTCCCCTGCGCCACTTGTCCCCTGCGCCCGGCATGCACCAGACGTGGACTGCATTGTGTCTACTGAGGCAGACGTGGAGAAGAATGAGGACAAGCTCCTGCCGCCCCTGTATGTCCACCACCTCTCCCCCTCCTCAACCCCACTTTCTCCACTGCTCCCACTGCCCCTGCCAACGATCTTTCAGATTCTCAACACAAAGTTGCTGTACCTGGTTCTCAACACAAAGTTGCTGTACCTGGTTCTCAACACAAAGTTGCTGTACCTGGTTCTCAACACAAAGTTGCTGTACCTGGTTCTCAACACAAAGTTGCTGTACCTGGTTCTCAACACAAAGTTGCTGTACCTGGTTCTCAACACAAAGTTGCTGTACCTGGTTCTCAACACAAAGTTGCTGTACCTGGTTCTCAACACAAAGTTGCTGTACCTGGTTCTCAACACAAAGTTGCTGTACCTGGTTCTCAACACAAAGTTGCTGTACCTGGTTCCACCTCTTCACCTCTTCTGTCTTTCCGTCCCTGCTACCACCCCATCCCTTCCCTACCATCCGTCCCTTGCCTTGCCTTAAACTCAACCCCATTCACCATTCCCCTCTCTCCTCTCCCGCCACCCTCCTTCGCATCAATCCCACTTGATCGGTTATCCCACGTGCCCTCCATCGCCGCCCCTCCCGCACCCCAGCGTCCTGGGAGCGTCGGTGGTCTCGGAGGACTATCTGCTCGAATCGCTCGCGCAGAAGCGCCGCCTGCCCATGCGCGCGTACCTGCTGCCCCTCTCGCTGCAGCTGGTGCAGGATGTGGACGCCAATCGCCCTGCCGGGAAGCAGAGCAGGGCTGGGGGGAAGGGCAAGGGCAGGGCGGGCGAGGGGGAGGAGCAGGTGCGGGCGACGGTGCGAGTGAAGGGGCGCGCGGCGGTGCATGAGGCGTCGGGGCTGGCGGAGAGGGGCCACGTGCTGGAGTGCCAGGGGTGCGTGTGGAGCACCACTCTCTCCCTCGCTGACCTCTCCACCGGCGCCAACAGGTGTGCCTCCTCCTTCCCTCCCCCCCACCAGTGCATGCTGTTCCCACTGCACCTACTGCATCCAGCATCCACTAACCCCTCCTCTTCCTCCCCCCCTCCCCCTCACGGCTACCTCTCTCGCAACGTCTCCGCTTCCCCCTCGTGCAGATCACACACCAATGCTTCTCTTCTGTCACGCATTGCACACTCTGCTTCTCTCCCGTGCCCTCTCCTGCCCCCTCGTGCAGCTACTACATCCTGCAGGTGATAGAGGACGACAAGTCATCCAGGTGCCACGTGTTCCGCAAGTGGGGGCGTGTGGGCAACGAGGCCATCGGGGGCAGCAAGCTGGAGCAGGAGAGTCGCGAGCAGGCAATGGGGTTGTTCAAGCGGCTGTTCAAGGAGAAGACAGGCAACGACTGGGAGGCTTGGCAGAAGAAAGAAGGCTTTGAGAAGCAACCGGGGAAGTTCTACCCTCTTGAGATTGTGAGTGGCTTATGACACCTGTCCAGCCACTGCCAAAGCGGTAGTTCTAGCTGCAGCAGCAGGGCGAGCAGCTGCCATCCTGTCGCAACGCCGGCCTCTTCATATGTGGGCAAATCACCGGTTTAGGGTTCAGAGGTGTGGGGTTAGCAAAGGAACGGCAGCACAAAAGCGTTCGGCTACAGTGCGCTTGTTCTCATCTCCTCTTCCCTTGGCTCGCAGGACTATGGAGGAGGGGACGAGGAGGAGGAGCAGGGCGGGGCTGTGATGGGCACAAGGAGCAAGCTGGATGGCCGGCTGGTGGCGCTGCTCATGATGATCTTCGACCTCAAATCCATCAGGTGCTTTCTCGGGATGATTCTCGTGAGGTTCTTGTTCAACTGCCACGTTCCCTCATCTCGCTCACCCTGTACCCCTTGCCTCTGCCTATGCCCCTGCCACTCATCCCCTCTATTCTCTACATTTCCGTAAAATCCCCCACCACCCCTTGCCCCTCCATACCACGTCCCATCATGGCTGGCAGGGAGGCGATGGTGGAGTTTGAGATCAACGTGAGGGAGATGCCGCTGGGAAAGCTCACCAAGCGCCACATAGAGCGCGGCTTTCAGGTGCTCACGGACGTGCAGGCCGCCCTGCAGCTGCCGCCCGACAGCACGGGGCGGCGGGAGAGCGCCATCGTGGACGCGTCGAACCGCTTCTTCACTCTCATCCCCACCGTCAACCCCACCGCTATTCGCACACTCGAGGCTCTCACCACCAAGGTGCGTGCGTGTGTGGGATCCGTACCTGCTGCTGCTGTGATTGCACTGTGTCGTGCCTCGGTAAAGCACGCTGCTCATACTGAGTATGCCTGTCCTGCTGTGCTGTGTATGCTGCGCCTTGTGTGTGCCCTGCCATGTGTGCCATGCCCTGGGAGCAATGAATGGGGTGCAGATCCGCATGCTGGAGGCGCTGAGGGACATGGAGGTGACGTCCACGCTGCTGAGTGCGAGCAAGGGGGCGGGCGAGGGCGAGGGGGGGGAGAAGGAGGACCCGGTGGACCGCCATTACCGCCAGCTGCAGTGCGGCCTGTCGCCCCTGGAGCCCAGCGATGCTGATTACTCGCTTGTCAAGGACTACCTGCACAAAACACATGCTCCCACTCACAAGGTGTCTCCCAGCCTCGCTCGCACACATTCACAACCACAGCCTGGCATGCCTACTTCGTGCCTTCTTGCGTCCATAGAATTCTCTCCTTGTTCACCCTTCATTCCCTCCATGCTCCCCATGCTTCGCCATGCACCCCCATACATTCTTTTCAAGGTTAATTCTGAAAATTCTCAGAGTCAACACATATAATGTCCCATGAACCCCATGCGGGCAGGAGTGGGAGCTGGAGTTGCTGGACGTGTTCCGCGTGGATCGCAGTGGGGAGAAGAAGGCCTTCCGTGCCGACATCAAGAACCACATGCTGCTGTGGCACGGTATGCTCACATGCTGCTGTGGCACGGTATGCTCACATGCTGCTGTGGCACGGTATGCTCACATGCTGCTGTGGCACGGTATGCTCACATGCTGCTGTGGCACGGTATGCTCACATGCTGCTGTGGCACGGTATGCTCACATGCTGCTGTGGCACGGTATGCAGCATGCTCATATGGTTACATTCACAGTGCACATACTATGCTTCGAGGTTTGGTCTCTGTAATGTCGTTATCTGATTTCCTCGGCGCTCTCTCCCAACCTTCCCCCATTCAGGATCACGAGTGACCAACTATGTGGGCATCTTGAGTCAGGGCCTGCGCATCGCACCACCAGAGGCACCTATTACCGGCTACATGGTATGCATAATGCATCCCTGCTGCATTTTAATGTGCCGCTCTGCTGCCACCATTCTTGCACTGTGTATTCCTTCTGCATGCCCCTGTGCCACCATCCCTTGTCGTTCCAATGCACATGCTACTTCCTCCCCTCCTCCACGCCCCCCTCTCTCTGCGTGGCAGTTTGGCAAGGGAGTGTATTTCGCGGACCTGGTGAGCAAGAGCGCGCAGTACTGCTTCACCAGCCCCGACAGCAACATCGGCCTGCTGCTGCTCTCCCGTGTGGCGCTTGGTGCTCTCTATGAGCTCACGTCCGCCGAGGTCAGTCCCTCTTATTCACCCACTTACTGCTGCCCAGCTCAGCGTCGCTCTCGACTCATTGCCCTTTGAACCGGTGGTGCAAGCAACTTTTAACAAACTCCACTCAGCTTCTCCACTTTTCCCTCGAGCTTCCTTTGCCACCGCACTCACAGTCGCCTTGCTAGCCACATTTCCAGATCCCTTTCCTACTGGCACCCTGGTATTTCTCTCGACTCTCCTGCTGATGCTGCCTGCCCTGCCTCCCGTGCAGTATGTGGAGAAGCTGCCACGGGGAAAGCACGCAACCAAGGGGCTGGGGATGATGAAGCCCAAGGAGGCCGAGTTTGTCAAGTGGGCCTCCGATGTCGTCGTGCCCTGTGGCAAGCCCGTGCCTTCGGGGGTGAAGAACAGCCACCTGCGCTACAATGAGTTCATCGTCTACGATACATCACAGGTACTGAATATGTGGTCTTCACATGTTTTTTACGTTGTATGTCCGGCACTTTATGCAGTCGATGGGGTTTTAAACACATTTTCATTTGCTTCTTCTGTTGAAAATGTTGCAGATTCAATTGGAGTTTCTCCTCAAAGTGAAGTTTATCCACAAATAATGATGTTGTTTGTTATGGCGTATTGGTTGGCCTTCGCATGGCCATTGAAAATGCATCAACGCTCACAAGTTTCACCACTGACTTGCCCTTCGCTAGGCATTCCTGTAAGTACTGCTTGGCTCTCTGAATTGTGATGGGTGGGAGCCAACATTCCGTATGCTGTAAACATTAATATATGTAGTAATTATTTGTTCATGGTATTGGGAGAACCTGGGAGCGACGCTATTGTTCGAGACGAAGCCCGAAAAGATGGATCTTCGGTATTCGTGAAGCACACTTGCAATCTGTGTCCCAAGCCTACCTTGTCATGCCTGTGACATCACAGAGTAAGGGTGGATGCCATGGCATATGGCATCGCATGCCATGGATGGATCCATGGTAACGGAATAAGGGTGCCGGAGTCGCGTATTTTCGCCAAGTGTGACGAAACTGGTTGCGAAACATACCCCAATATTGCAGCACGATCTCTCAACCACGAATTCTTCCGCGCTCCGGAGTTCCCAAGAGAAGGCCCTTGGAGTTGTGGAGCAAAGATCATCAAATTCACCTTGCTTGCATCAGTTGGACCTCTTTTCTTTCCCCGCTGCGTCGAGCGCCACAACAGAGCCTCGCGTTGGCCTCTAAGATCGCGCGCGAGCCGACACCACCGCCTACCCCCGCGCACGAATTCACTCCTTTCTCCTCTGTTCCCGTTCCCAATTCTCGCCGCGATGGATCAGCTGGCGGCGGTGCTGCAGCAGCTGCTGCTGCCGGACAACGAGTCGCGCAAGGCGGCGGAGGCGGCGTTCAAGCAGCTCTCTAAGGACCCCGCCGTGCTGCTCGCGCTGCTGCACTTCCTCAAGGCGGGCCCCTCGCCCGACGTGCGCCAGCTCGCCGCCGTGCTCATGCGCAAGAAGGTCGCGGGGCTGTGGGCGCAGCAACCCGCCGAGGCCAAGGCCAGCATCAAATCCGCACTCCTCGAGAGCATCGCGCTGGAGCCCAGGTGGGGATCTCCTTCCGTCACCGTCCGGGCTCGAAGCCCGTTCCGTCGGCCTCCGGCATTGTCACCGCTTAGGCGCATGTGGTGGTACGAGTAGCGAACTCACGAGTAGGGCAAGGGGTGCGGCTCATGGTATCGATCTATCCAAAGCTTGCGCTCTAGGGATCGAGTTTCGGCGGTGCAGAGCTGTGAAAGTGTGGGGCTTGATCGCACCCCTCATCTGGCAGATCACTGTCATGTCAGACCGTTCGTCAGATAATAGCGTCTCCCGCATTCCTCGCTTTGCCTCCTGACCGCGGATCCCCCGCTCCCTTGTCGTGCCCCGCCGTCATGCAGCCCTGTCGTGCGCCGCGCCAGTGCTGACGTGGCGAGCGTGATTGCGAAGCACAGCGTGCCTAACGGCGAGTGGCCGGAGCTGCTGCCGTTCCTGCTGCAGTGCTCGCAGGGGCAGCAGGAGGACCACCGCGAGGTGAGGCACCCCCGCACAATGCGCCGCGCCAATCACTGCGCTTCCGCCGCATCCAATCCACCCTCGTCCGCTCCGCCACTGTGCACTTCACCTGCAAATTCCCCCTCCCCGGAACTCGTTCTCCGCGCCTCCCTCTCCCGCTCTCCCCCTCTCCGCTCCCCCCTCGCCCTCCCCCCTTCCGCAGCTGGCGTTCATTCTGTTCGCGGCGCTGGTGGAGACGATCGGCGACGTGCTGCGACCGCACTTCCCCGCGCTGCACGGCATCTTCGTCGCGGGCCTGCGCGACCAGGCCAGCGCGCGAGTGCGCGTCGCCGCGCTCAAGTGAGTGCCCCGCTCGCGCTGCTGACCCGCCCGCACCGCCTGCGCCGCTGCTCCCCGCGCTCCATCCCCGCTGCTCGCACCGCCTGGTCGTCGCATAACACGCTCTCGCTTGTCGCTACTCCTCAACTGCTCTCCGCCCCTTCGCCTCAAATTCACACATATGCAACTTTCCTGTGGTGGGTGGGTGCGTGGGTGTGCGTGCGTGCGCAGGGCCGTGGCGGCGTTGGTGGAGTACCTTGACAGCGAGCAGGACGTGGTGAGTTCCGCGCACGCGCACAATGCGCGCACGTAGCGCATGGCATTGCGCTGATCCTGCCTCTCTCCCTCCGCCATCCCATGCACTCGGCCGCTCCTGCCCTTCTCCTTGCATTCGCCGATCCCCAATCCCCCCTCCCCTTCCTCACCTCGCCCCCCTCTCCCCCTTCGCCCCGCCCTCCCCCCCGCCTAGACTCTGATGCGCGATCTGGTGGCGCCGATGCTGGACGTGGGGCGGTTCTCGGCGGGGAGCGGCGACGAGGCGACGGTGGTGCGCGTGTGCGAGGTGGTGACGGAGCTGGCGGAGCACCCCGCGCCCGTCATCGCGCCGTCGCTGCCCGCCGTCATCCAGTTCGCGCTCGAACTCGCCAGCAACACGCACCTCGAACCCGCCACGCGCTTCCAGGTGAGGCGCCACTGCTGCGCAACGGCAGATGTGGCAGATGGTGGTAGAAGGGAATGTGAACGAGGTACGACACCAACACACACCAACATACAGGACACGCATTCCACATTCAATCATGGTGAATGCAAACTGACGCATTGTCCAACTCCCCGTGCTGTGTTGGTTTGGGTGGAGCAGGCAGCGCAGGTGGTGGCGTGGTGTGCGGCGTGGAAGGCCAAGTGGTTGGCGAAGCAGAAGCTGGTGCCCGTCATCCTGGCCGCCATGGCGCCGCTGCTCGCCGAGCCCTGTGGCGAGACGGACTCGGAGCAGGACGAGGAGTACGACCTCTCGCCCATGCGCTTTGCCGCCCAGGTGACCTCCTTTCCACGCCTCCTTGCCTAAGTCCCCACACATGGAAATCTTTTCCATTCCCACACCCGCAACCCAACTTCCCCCCAACCCCCCTCTCACCGCCCCTCATCCCGCTCTCACTGCCTTTCCCCGACGCCACCCGAAACCCCCCATCACCGTGCGTCTTCACCTTGAGAGGCCATAGACGCGATGGCAGTGAAGGCCCCTCGCACACCAGCACTTCTTCCCACTCCCACTCCACAACCCGCCACCCACCCTTTCTCATCCCCCTTCAATCTCTTCCCGTCCCCTCTCCGCCCTGTGTTTACTGCCCCCACAGGCCATAGACGCGGTGGCCATGGAGGCGCCGCGCAAGCATGTGTTCCCGCCTGTGCTGGCGTTCGCCCGCGCACACATCACGGACACCAACCCCCACATGCGCTACGCCGCTGTCATGGCCCTGGCTGTCATCACCGAGGGGTGCTGGTGAGTGCAGAGGGGTGCAGAGGGGTGTTGGTGAGTGCAGAGGGGCGCAGCAGAGGGGTGTTGGTGAATGCAGAGGGGTGCAAATGGGTGCTGGTGAGTGCAGAGGGGTGTTGGTGAGTGCAGAGGGGTGCAAAAGGGTGCTGGTGAGTGCAGAGGGGTGCAAAAGGTGCTGGTGAGTGCAGGGGGGCGCTGGTGAGTGCAGAGGGGTGCTGGTGAGTGCAGGGGTGCACTGCAGGGGTGTTGGCTTGTCCTTGTGCGCCCCCTTACCCCTCCCAAATCTCCACTTCCCTCTTCCCCCATTCTCCCCCCCCTCCACACACCCTTCCTTCCCCCCAGTGAGGCAGTGCGCGGGCGGCTGGAGTCAGACGTGCTGCCATTGGTGGTGGCGGGGCTGGGAGACGCGCATCCCAAGGTGCGGGGGGCGGCGTGCTTCGCGGTGGGGCAGCTGTCGGAGTTTGTGCAGCCCGAGGCGTCGGAGCACTACAAGATCATCCTGCCCGCTGTCTTCGCCGCCCTCAATGACGCCTCGCCCGTTGTCAGGGTCAGTGGCAAAGAAAGGGGTACTGATTTTGAGAGACCTCAAGAGCGACTCTGTTCTTGGGAGCTGGGCTGCATGCTTGGTGTGGATGTGAGGCACTGTATGCAGTTTAGTGTCGGCCTTACCACCCGAGCTTCAGTGCTCTCGGCCCTCCCTCTCTCTTTCCGTCCCTGCCTCCCTAAATTCTTCCCTCCCTCCATCTCTCTCCGCCTATCCCACTCAGATCCCTGCAAGTTGCCACATCCCTCCCTCGCTCCCTCCCTTCCACCCCTCCCCCCTCCTCAGGAGAAGGCGTACTACGCGTTAGCAGCGTTCTGCGAGCACATGGGGGACGAGATCCTGGAGTTCCTGGACCCGCTCATGCGCCAACTCATGGACGCCCTGCGCTCGCCCGACCGCAACCTGCAGGAGATGTGCATCGTGAGTTGGATGATGTGCATCGTGAGTTGGATGATGTGCATCGTGAGTTGGATGATGTGCATCGTGAGTTGGATGATGTGCATCGTGAGTTGGATGATGTGCATCGTGGGTTGGATGATGTGCATCGTGAGTTGGATGATGTGCATCGTGAGTTGGATGATGTGCATCGTGAGTTGGATGATGTGCATCGTGAGTTGGATGATGTGCATCGTGAGTTGGATGGGAGGAGATGAGGAGGTGGGGGTGAGATGGGAGAATTGTATATGAATCGTGAGTTGTATGATGTGCATCGTGAGTTGTATGATGTGCATCGTGAGTTGTACAATGTGCATCGTGAGTTGGATGATGTGCATCGTGAGTTGGATGATGTGCATCGTGAGTTGGATGATGTGCATCGTGAGTTGGATGGGAGGAGATGAGGAGGTGGGGGTGAGATGGGAGAATTGTATATGAATCGTGAGTTGTATGATGTGCATCGTGAGTTGTATGATGTGCATCGTGAGTTGTACAATGTGCATCGTGAGTTGTACAATGTGCATCGTGAGTTGTATGATGTGCATCGTGAGTTGGATGATGTGCATCGTGAGTTGGATGATGTGCATCGTGAGTTGGATGATGTGCATCGTGAGTTGGATGGGAGGAGATGAGGAGGTGGGGGTGAGATGGGAGAATTGTATATGAATCGTGAGTTGTATGATGTGCATCGTGAGTTGTATGATGTGCATCGTGAGTTGTATGATGTGCATCGTGAGTTGTATGATGTGCATCGTGAGTTCTATGATGTGCATCGTGAGTTGTATGATGTGCATCGTGAGTTGTATGATGTGCATCGTGAGTTGTATGATGTGCATCGTGAGTTGTATGATGTGAACCGTGAGTTGTATGATGTGCATCGTGAGTTGTATGATGTGCATCGTGAGTTGTATGATGTGAACCGTGAGTTGGATGATGTGCATCGTGATGTAACAGAATGGGAGGTCATGTCATGGAATGTGGTACAGATTCATAGATGCATAAATCCAACACACTCCTTCACTGCACATGCCATCTCTTCAAACATCACGCATTCTCCCTATCTCCTCCACCCTCTCATGTCCCAACCGCCTCATCACCCTGCCGTCTTCCCCCTTTCTCCCCCCCTGCCAGTCCGCCATAGGATCAGCGGCAGCAGCAGCAGGTCCCAAGTTCGCGCCATACAGTGACGCGGTGCTGGCGGCGCTCATCCCGCTCGTGTCCCTCACAGCGGAGGCGGACGTGGACGTGCGGTCACGCGCGTACGAGCTGGTGGGCATCATTGGGATCGCCGTGGGGCGGCAAGCGGTGGAGCCCGTGCTGCCCGGCTTCATGGACGCCGCTCTCAAGGTGGGTGGGGGAGCAGTTGAGGGGCAGTGCTGTGAATGGCAGTAAGCCACAAGCAGTGCGGGTACGAGCTGGTGGGCATCACTGGGATTGCTGCGGGTGCCAGGCCATAGAAAGAGTGCTGCTGTGCTTCATGGCCTGAGTGCTGCACTTCAAGGTGCTGTGCTGGGTGGCTCGGGGGGTCGCAGGGATTGTTTATTGTGTTGCTCACGTCAGTAAGGTATGTGAACGAGGGATTCAGAGCGCCTCACTCCCTTGCTCACCAACCACACGCCACCTCCCACGTCCCACACCCCACACCCCATGCTCAACCTTCCCCATGGCAGGGCTTCGCCCTGGACCAGAGTGCGTTGCGGGAGTATGCGCACTCCTTCAGCGACGTCGCCAAGTTCCCTTGCTCACCCACCACGTGCTATTTGCCATTCCATGCCGCACCCCCCACATACACTCACCCCCATGGCAGGGCTTCGCCCTGGACCAGAGTGCGCTGAGGGAGTATGCCCACTCCTTCTTCAGCGACGTGGCCAAGTTCCTCGAAGCTGACTTCGCCCCCGTGAGTATTGTCTTGTGCACCCCCCCTCAGCCCACCCAGCCCCCGTGATTTGCCGCTTGCATCCGTGCGCCTGCATGCTCTCCTTTCACCACTGCCCTCTCCATACATTTCTCCCATGCTCGCTGACTTCAAATCAATCTCCGTGCCACTAACACTCCACCACCCTGCTCTTCCCCCTCTCCCCCCTCTCTTTCTCTCCCCGCTACCAGTACCTGCAGCACGTGGTACCGCTCGCCTTTTTCTCCTGCCGCCTCGACGATGGCATTGTGGTCGGCCCAGCAGCCACCGACTTGGAATCAAACTTCGTGCCACTAACACTGTAACTCCTTTCCTCCCTCCCCACCCCTGCCAGTACCTGCAACACGTGGTGCCGCTCGCCTTCTCCTCCTGCCGCCTCGACGATGGCATCGTGGTCGGCCCGGCCGCCACCGATGACGATGCCGCCGACGCCGAGGGCGGTGGGCGGCGGCAGCTAGCGGCAGCACTGGCAGCAGGGGAGATCTCGTCGGATTCGGAGGATGAGGACGAGGGGGCGGCTTTGAGGGGGCTGAGGGGCATCAGTGTGCGCACGGCCGTGCTGGATGAGAAGGCGGCTGCTGCTCAGGCCATCGGCGCGTATGCTCAGTACACCAAGGCTGCTTTCGGCCCGTGAGTGTGCTGGTGGGGTGTGGTGCTGCTGCTGGGCTGCATGATTGCAGTGCGTGCATGCCATAGACCTCTGCTGGAAGCTGAGATAAGTGCGTGGTTGGTGTGAAATTGTGAATCAAGCACCACTGACCTGTCATGCTTCATCCGCATACCCTGCCCTTCCCCTCTCCCCTCTCGCCCTTCCCTCATGCAGGTACGTACAGGAGGCGGTGGGGGTGCTAAAGGACGGGGCGGACTATGCACATGAGGACGTGCGCCTGCAGGCCACGCTCTCCCTGCAACGTCAGTTCCCCCCTCCACCTCCCCCCCCCCCCCCCCCTTTCTGCTCCCTGCCCTCCCTCCTCTCTCCGCCCTCCTCCTTCCGCCCTCTGCCCTCCGCTATGCATCCACTGCCCAGCACCTTCATCCAGCCAAGCATGCCCACCATGCAGCATGTCACCCACCTTTCGCACTATCTGTCTCTCTTCTGTCGTCCACCTAAATCTCTCCGCCCTCACAACAACCCTCACAGCAATGTCTCCCCCGTCTCCCCCCCACCCTCTCCGCCTCCAACAGACCTGGTCACGGCGGCGCTGCACGCCTTCCCATCCGCCCCAGGCCAGGTACGCTTCATGCCCTCCCACAGGGGTGACTGACCGGTGCACTGAATGCTGCGGGGCAATGCTCTCTCTCATACTGCTGTGCCATCCTCTCTCTGCACAACAATCCCTCCACCTCTTATGTGGTTCTCCATTTGCCTTGCCTGCATCTGCCTTCAGTTCCCTCCATTGCTCAATTGCACTCACCCACGTCCCCCCTCCTGTGCATGCGCGACCAACCCCTCCCCCCGTGTGCTGCATGACACCCCGTCGCCATCACATTACCGTGCATGCCGCACACTCCCTGTGCACGCGGCGCTGCTCTGCTGTGCTGTGCTGCCACCACGGCACGGCACCTGCTGGGCGGCAGCAGCCCATGAGTGCGGAAACGAACCATGTCTTTGGTGAGCCCCCGCCGACCAACCACCACCCCTTGCCGCTCTGCCCTTGCTCTCCTGTCTTGGCATCGCCCCGCCTGACTCTGCGCGCCCACGTTGCTCACTCCATCTGCGCGCCCATTCGCTCTGCTGAACCACACCCATTGCCATCATCCTTCCACGCACACCCGTCACGGTATTCCCTCTCACTGTAACCTCTCACTGTAACCTCTCACTGTAACCTCTCACTGTAACCTCTCACTGTAACCTCTCACTGTAACCTCTCACTGTAACCTCTCATCTCATTGCTGCCCTGGCCGCACCTCCCCTCACGAGCCCCTCTGTTCCCTGTGTGTGCGCGCACATCAGACGTGGCGATGGAGGTGTGGATGGGGGCGATGAGGGATGACGAGGAGCGCGCAGTGGTTGGGCAGGCCTTCAGCGGCGCCACGGAGACCATCAAGGCGCTGCTGGCTGCTGACTCCGCCAACCAGCCCGCCATGGCGCCCTGTGAGTCACTGAGAGGGAAATGGCCATCCGCCTGTGCTCTGTGTTGCCACCCTGCTTTGCAATCTCCTCCACAGCCACCCCCTGCCCCTGAATCCCCTCGCCTTCTCTCCACCCTCCTCCTTCCACCCGTCGTCCCCTGACCCCTTTGTCTCAACCACCCTTCGTCTCAACACCCCCCTCTCTCCCAACACCCCCCTCTCTCCCAACACCCCCCTCTCTCCCAACACCCCCCTCTCTCCCAACACCCCCCTCTCTCCCAACACCCCCCTCTCTCCCAACACCCCCCTCTCTCCCAACACCCCCCTCTCTCCCAATCCCCCTGTCAGACTTCGAGCCCCTGGTGGCAGCGCTGCGGGACGAGCTGCCATACGGGATAGACTTTGATGGGCTTTTCAAAGAGCCCAAACCGTTCCCCCACCCCCTGCTGGTCAGACGCGGAGCCTTATCACCCTGCCGTCTTCCCCCTTTCCCCCACCCCCTGCTGGTCAGACGCGGAGCCTTATCACCCTGCCGTCTTCCCCCTTTCCCCCACCCCCTGCTGGTCAGACGCGGAGCCTTATCACCCTGCCGTCTTCCCCCTTTCCCCCACCCCCTGCTGGTCAGACGCGGAGCCTTATCACCCTGCCGTCTTCCCCCTTTCCCCCACCCCCTGCTGGTCAGACGCGGAGCCTCTGGTGGCGGCGGTGCGAGCGGCGCTGAGGGACGACCTGCCGTGCCAGCGAGCAGCGAGCGACGCCGAGACGGGCGGTGAGGGGGCGGCGGGGCCGACAGAGGCGGCGGAGGAGGAGGAAGAGGAGGAGGAGCACGACGAGGAGCTCATGGACGCCGCTGTTGACCTGCTGCCCGCTGTGGCGCGTGCCGTGGGCGCCGCTGCCTTCGCCCCTGTCTTCCACTCCCTGCTGCCCGACATCCTCGCCTTCACGGTGCCCTCCTCTACCTCCCTTGCGCCCTCTCTCCCTCCTTCACTTGCTCCCTTGCAGTTTTTCTCCCTCGTGGGCTCATGCTCTTGCTCGCTGTGGCACGCATGGGCCGGCTATGGTCTGCCTTCGCCCTCCCCTTCGCACTTCCTTCACCCTGCCATCTTCACACACATGCTCTGCACTCCCCTGCCTTGCTCTCTCCTTCCGCATTCCCCCTGTCACCTCTCGCACTCTTCAGTCTCTTTGTCACTCAGCCTTGCTTCGTCTCTCACACTTTCCCCACCTCTCGTGTACTCTTCCCCTCTTATACTCTTCTCCTCTTCACCTCTTCTCCCCCTGCCTCTCCATCTTCCCCTCTCCCCCTCCACCCACCATTGATTGGAGCAGAAAGCCTCCCGCCCGCCCAACGATCGCAGCATGGCGGTGGGGTGCATTGCTGACGTGGCAGGGGAGCTGGGGGAAGCCATGGCGCAATACGTGGATGTGAGTGCCTGGGGATGGGGTATAGGTATGCGTTGGGGTGTAGTGTGGCATGGAGGGTGGTATGGCAAGGGGTGTGTTGCACTCCTGCAGTCATGTTGTGCCATCCCTTATCCAACATGCCTTCCATTCCCTTCATTCTGCTTCTTCAATGCGCTCTCAACCGAACTACATCCTCATAAACCATCCTCCACCACTCTCACAAGCCTCCCTCCCACTTTCCCTCGCCACAGACCCTACTGCCCGTGCTGGCATCAGAGCTGAGGGGCGGAGACCCCCCCAACCGCCGCAACGCTGCCTTTGCCGTCGGCAAGCTGGCTGAAGTTTCGGGCGCTGCCATGCACAGGTGCGCGCTGCCATGCACAGGTGGGGAGGCACGGAGGGGCGAAACTGTTGCCGCTGCATGCCTTCTGCTGCTCCCCTTCTTCACCTCACTGCCGTTTCCTCTCACTGCCATGCCCGCTGTCGCCATGCATCCTTCCCCTCCCCCTCCCCCCCAATCCCACAGCACGGCTCCTGGCAGGCACTCCCGTCGACCTGCTGCTGCCACTCACCTCACTGTCATTCCCCAACCCCCCCAACACCTCCTCCTTCCCCACCCCCAGGCACTACTCTGATATCCTGTTGGGATTGCACCCGCTCTTCTCAGCGGACGAGGATGACGACGTGAGGGACAACGCTGCCGGCGCTGTTGCCCGCATGATCGCTTCTGGTGGCGCTTCCATGCCTCTCGACCAGGTCAGAGCACTGCCATGCCGCTTGACCAGGTCTGGTGTTTGTTCAATTGCAAGTGGAGAGTTCTGTTCACTGCCATGCCGTAAACCCATGTCGCACCAACGTCCGTCCCTCCCTAATCGTTCTTCCTCTCCACCTCGCTGTTCTCCTGCCCACCAGGTGCTGCCAGTGCTGGTGGCGGCGCTGCCTCTCAAGTCAGACCTGGAGGAGGCCAAGCCAGTGTACGGCTGCCTTGTGGCTCTTGTTGCCGCCTCACATCCCCAGGTACATGCACCAACCTCCACCACAATGTGGGTGATCATTCAACGTGACATCACATCAATCGTGCATCACGTACTTCATGGTTATCAATTCTGCTGCCATTCTCATGTGCTTGTGCTTTACGCACTGTCCCTTTTTTGTGCAGATCTTGCCAGTGGTGCCGCAGCTGGTGCCTGTATTCGCAGAGGTGGCGGTTAACGGTAAGATTGCACCGGAAGTGCGTCTCTCCGTGGGCCAAGCCTGCTCGCATCTCGCGCAGGCATTTGCAGATCAAATGCAGCCGCTCCTGGCGGCGCTTCCTAGTGATCGCGCCGCTGCTCTTTCCTCATGCATGGCTGGCACCTTGCCTCCTGCATCTGGTTAGATGCTGCAAGACACAACATATTATTTCTTCTGTAGTAGTAGGTATGTAGGAAGTCATTTACTAGTTAGGTAGCTTTGAGTTGAATAGGAAGTATTGAAGAAGGGTTGTCGACAACTATCTCTTCAGGCAAAAATTGATATTGTATTTTTTCACGTGAAATCTGTACATCATTATTCAACACTACCTGTATTTTTTCGCGTGAAATCTTTGCTTCATTATTCAACACTACGAGGGATTCCAGTTTCCAAATGTCGGCTTACAAGTGGACCACGGCCAACAGCGCGATGAGGTGCCCTTGCGCCTCCCGCTGAATTGGAATCCATACCTTGGGAATGTCAAGCCGCGCGCTGACGTGTACCAACCCCTCGATTTCCTCAATCGCCCCTGAAGAAGCTTCTTCAAGCGGAATTGGGAATGCGCAGGTCTGACGTGGCACCCTGCCTCATCCTGTCAGGAAACCTCCTCCCACTCTGCTTCGCCCTCCACTCTCTCCACTTTCTGTTTTCCCTCGCGCTAGCAGCTTCTTTTGTGCACCGCTTCAGACGGATCATTACACAATTTTAGGGACGTGTCTCACGTTTCTTGCGTCGTAATCGGCAAGCCACCAATTCTCCGTCGCCACTAGCATCGAGCAACAATGGCTGCCGCGTGCTCATCGTGCGCCATCCAGGCGGCAAATTTATGCTTAGTGGAGAGAGGATCGCAGGCCACAGCCGTTAGGGCTCCCAAGGTGCCGGTGAGCAAGCTTTCGTGCGCTGGTTAGCGTCCTCGTCTTGCAATCTCATCTGATGTAGCGTATGCGCTGATTCGCAATGTGTTTTCGCGTCCACCGACCTTCCGTATCGTGCAGGCCGCATTCCTCGGCCAAACTCTCGGTTTGAATGCGCACTCGGCGATCGGCAGCCAGAAGGTGGCCTCAACGGGAATTCAGGTATAGATTCGACGCACCGTGCACAAATTAATATATTTCGCGACGCGAGAGTGCCCCCATTCACCCGGCTACTGTGGAGCTTTTGAGTCGACGCATTATGCATCTTGTGATCGCTCGCATGCACTGCTGCTGAACAGCTCCGTGTCATTTGAAATCCTGTAAGGTGGTTATTCTGTGACCAAATCATTTTTATGTCATTTGCTTATGAATATTCCTTTCTCCCATCCCATCGCTGCCTTGATTCAGCTCGTAGCGGCAGCGGCGGTGAGGGGTGTCAGGTGCAGCGCAGCGGCAGCAGCGGAAGCTGGTAAGTGCATATGGCAGGCTCTCTCAGCGTTGCACCGCTATTCTCTCGCATACGATCCCCATCATGCCTCCCTACCCCGCGTACGCACCCTCCTCGCATCCCGACCCTTGCGTGCCGCACCATGCCCACCAGGTCGCATGTGTCGTCTTCCTTGCTCCATGCTCCTATCCACTCTTTTACCCTTCAAAACTCCCGGTGCCCTACCTACCTTAAATCAGCAGCCCTTCCTTCCCCCGCCTCCGCCCCTTCCTTCCCCCCTCCCCTCCCCCCACCCCTTCACACCCCCCACTCCTTTCAACCTTTCCCTCGCCGCAAATCGCTGAATTGCGCAAACGTTTGCGGAGTTAGCGCTTAGAGGGACTCCAACCTGAATTCCTCCCCATCCTGCACTTCCTTCCAACCTCCAGTTTCCGCCCCTCCCGCGGTGCGCCCGTCCGCGGCGGAGTTGGCGCAGACGGTGGTGGAGCTGTCGGCGGAGGGCACGCTCGTCACGCTCGCGCACGGCGGCGCGGGCAGCACGCTCGCGGGCGACGACCAACCACTCCCCGCCACGTGGCCGCTGGCCTGCCACGCGTTCTTCGCGCCCGACCCCGAGGGCCGCCCCATCGTGCTGCTCGCTGACTCGAGCTGCGCCGCCGCCAACCTCGCTGACGACGCGCAGGCGTGCCTACACGTGCAGGTAAGGGGAAGAGTAAGAGGCGAGCCTACTTGTGGAGGTAAGGGGGAGTCGAACTCAATGAAAGTGCACACTCACACACATGCAACTATCCCATTCAGGCCCTGTAACATGTGCCCCAAGTGGGACAACCGCTTCCCAGCTACCTTATGTGCACCAGCCGCCTCGTATCCACGTGCTCACACATGCAGTAGCGGCCATTTCTCAGGCACCTCATATGCTCCTGCCACCTCATATGCTCCTGCCACCTCATATCCATCAGCAACCTTATTTCGACTGGCCACCTTATGTCCACCCAAGTGCCACAATTGCATCTTGTGTGATGGCAAGGTGCTCATTCCTTAAAACAACCTCCTTTTTCCCTGTTGTCGCCCCGCTGATTGGACAGATCGAGCTGCCAGGTCAGCAGAAGCCGCAGGTGTCGCTGCATGGACGGCTGACCAAGGCACACGACGGCAAGACGCTCGGGGTGAGTGAATGACGTTTATGTTGGTTGGAGGGTCAAGAGAAAGCGAGGCTACAGGCATTTGCCCATGTGCCTGTGCTGCCACAAACAAATCCCAGGCACCAGGATGCATGCAACAGAAAAATACAAATCTGCACATGTACGCCAACCCCCAGCCACCCCCTCACATGCAGCCACGCAGCCTCACACATCCACCTGCCTGCCTGCCTGCCCTTATGTCCTCCACTCCTGCTCTCACTCGCTCCGCGTCCTTCTGTGCCCCCGTGCTCCCATCACACCCTGTGCCCCGCGCCCCCGCCACACGGCAGAAGCTGGAGGCGGCGTGGAGGCGGCGCTTCCCCGACAGTGAGGAGGATGCGGGCAGCAGCGACGGCTCTGCGTCCTCTGCTCTCTTCCTGCTGGACGTTGACCGTGTGCTCGTGGCGCCAGACGCCGACCAGGTAAAAAGGCGGGGAGAGGGGAGTGTGGTGGTGTGGGCGTGAGTGTTTATGTCGCAACGGTTACCCATGGTAGCTGCAACGGCTCCACGTCATCGCTCTTCCTGCTGGACGTTGATCGTGTGCTCGTGGCGCCCGATGCCGACCAGGTGAGGGGGGACAGGAAGGTGGTGGTGCTGTGGGTGTGAGTGGTTGAGGGGTAAGGGTTACGCATGGCAGCACCTGTCCCACCCAATCAGCCAAACCCACCTCACACTGATCTGCCCTGCACCAACCCACCACATGTCACCCGCAGGAGGACGAGTGGATCTCCCCAGATGTCTACTTCAGTGCCGACGCCGACCCCCTGCGGGAGGCGACAGCGGGCATAGTGGCCGATATCAATCGAGAGCACTGGCAGGACCTGCGCTTCCCCGTCTTTTAAACTCATGCCATTCTGCTCTGCCCCCAACCCCCCCATCCCACAGGAGGGCGAGTGGATCTCCCCAGAGGCCTATCTGAACGCGGACGCCGACCCTCTGCGCGAGGTAGCAGCAGGCATAGTGGCCGACTTCAACCGAGAGCACTGGCAGGACCTGCGCCGCTTCCCCGCCGCCTTCGCCGCGCTGCCAGACCTGCAGGTGGACGACGCGTCGCTCATCTGGGTGGACCGCCTTGGCTTTGACCTCCGCGTGCTCGCTCGCCCCGCCATGCCCGGTGCTGCTGCCGCGGCGGATTTCCCCGCGCGGGTGATGGATGTGCGCGTGGCGTTTGCACGGGAGGTGGGGGAGGAGAGAGAGGCACGGTCTGCGCTGACCATGATGGCGCAGGTGGCGTGGGAGAGGGAGAGGAGCTTTGGCAGCCCCGCTGCTCCCGCCGCTGCTGCTGCTGAGGCTGCTTCCTCGTAGGACCGTGTGCGGAACAGGAGAGCTGGCTGGTGGGGTGTGCACCTGCTAGTGTTTTTCGTGGTTAGAGTAGAGAGATGGAGAAGTGAGCTGGGGTGCTGGTGTATGTGGGTCGCGGCTGCTCATGACACAGATGTGGCATGAGTGTTAGCAGGAGAGGGACAACTCATGTTCAGAGCAATAACTAGTGTGGCTTGTAACGAGTACTACTGATTTGGCAACGAATCAGGCCCTTACATATGAATTGAGCATGCGGTACCTACACTCAGTCAACCAATGGATGCACCAAGCAGCAACCTAATGACAACCTGGCTTTGTGCTGTACGCGAAAAATGCAGAACCACTTGTTGAGCACACACGCACCACATTACTCCATGTTGAAATGACACTAGTTACCGTATGCATCACACGTGCATGCTTCACCCTCTTCTGGGTCTTGACACAAGGGGCTGCCATTGGCGCTTGCCTCGAAGCAATAATCCTGTGACGTGCCTGCCGTGACCTATCTGGAGCCAATGTGTAAACATGCACGGCGATACTCCGCCCTCAGGCTTTCCATGCTTGGATCTGTGAAGGAGAAAGGGCAGTCATTCCAAAGACAAGGGTTGGGCCACGAGGGCAGGTGGAGGGGTTTGAGTGGGAGCACAGGCAGGACTCAGCACAGCACGAGCTCTCGGCCATCCAGTCAGCCAAGCACACAGCAGTGGAAAGGTGTTAAGCACCCAAGCAGCCGCTTCATGCTGGGCAGCCTCTGATCACGCACCTGAGTTGTCCAGACTGGGCGGCAGAGTGATCTGGAACAGTGCCGACTCGGTTCTGCCCAGCAGCTTCACTCCCTGCTGCTTCGCACTCGCAAGCAGCGCTCGACCAATCATGTTCCACGCCAGGGTGGCCGCCTCGTCACACACCGCCTCCCTCTCCTCCCTCCTCCTCTCCTCTTCCTCCTCCCTCACTCTCTCCCTCTCCTCTGCTGCTCGCCTTGCTCCATCCTCCCCTCTCCTCCATCTCCCATCCATCCTACCCTGTGTCTCCCACCCCCCTTCCCTCCCCCTTTCAAACGCATCAGCAGCTGACCGCTTCCTCCCCCCGGTCCTGCCAGCTGGCGGCCTATCATCGGTCGCATGCTGTCTGGCATCCACATCAGCTGCCAGCGAGGCAGTTCCTCCTCCCAAGAAGGCGGACAAACCCCAAGGGTCGTCCCTCACTGCGCTCTGCTGCACTGCACCTGTTCCTGCCGCACCGCCTGCCACTGCACCTCCTGCCTCAGCAGCACCACCAGCAGCAGCAGCCCTGCTCCGCTCATGAGCTGCCACAGCAGCAGCTCTCGCATTGTTGGCAGCAGCAACAGCAGTATCAGCGGCTGCAGCAGCGGCATCAGCAGTGCCAGCAGTGGTGGCAGAAGATACAGGTTGTGAGAGTGAGAGCAGGGAACTCAGCCGCAGCACTGCCTCTAGCGCCCCTCCCACCACCCGCACCTCCCACCCCTCCCCATCCCCACACTGCCTTCCCATTCCCGCCACCCCCTGCCCTCTCCCTCTCCCCCTCTCCCCTCTGCCCGCTCTCCCGCCCCCATCCTCCTCCCGCGTCCCCCTGCCTCTCCCCCTGCCCCTCCCCCTGCCCCTCCCCGTGCCCTTGTGTCCTGCTTGCTCGGCTGGTGCGTCTGCATCCTGCAAGCGAGCAGAGGAGGCGAGGAAGCGACCCATGTCCTGCACGGGATTGGGAGAGGGGCGTGGGGGGGGGGTAAGGGAGGAAACAACGTTCAGAAACACGCAATTGGTAAGTTTGAACCTTAAAGAATGTCGGGCCTTGGAAGATATTTAAAAGGAAACGACTTGAGTTGATAAACAGATGGTGGGAACGAGCGTTGGGAAAGGAGAGCTACTGCAGAGAGGGGCAGTGTGGGAGTGAGAATTTGTGACAGCGAAGGACGAGGGGGGAGAGAGTGGATAGAGGGCATGGGAGGCGTGGGGCGAGGGAAGGAGGCGGTGTAGGGTGAGGCAGGTAGGAGGTGTGCGGTGAAAGAGGAAGGCGTTGTGCGTGGGATACCTGGAGGGCAGAAGGCGAGGTGACGGCTCTGACGTCCGACTCCAGTAGTGTGCTGTGGGCATGCCGGCATTGGGGCATGGGGGGCATATGGGGGGCATATGGGGGGCATGGTGACACACAATGATCAGGGGCACACAGTGGCAACACGCACATGAACAGCCACCCTGAATTGATGCACATGTGTGCGTGGGAGGGCGAAGGAGACAGAGCTTCCATACATTAGTCCAGCGGCTTTGGAAATTCAAGTGTTTGGAGCCAGTGAGATAGTGGTAGGCATACCCCTTATAGTAGTACTCGTCAATCTTTTGAAAGACATCAGCGTCCTGGGGCCACCGCTGCGCTGCAAGCCTGCGCACACACACATGCACATGAACGCACCCCATGCACACATACACACACAAATATGTGCACGGGTGTCATAGTGGGGTAACCCTACCCTTCAGAACCCCCAACCATATCTCCCCCTTACACCTTCTCCCACTAGGAATGGGCAAACCAGAACTCAAGTCAAAGCTTCCTTTCAATACCCCATGTCACATAAGCCCCTCTCCGCCGCTTAAAGCCCTCCCAAAACTACACCCCTCTTTCTCCCCGGAACCCCTCTCCACTGCATAAACCCATCTTACCCCCGAAATCCTTCTCCCCCGCCACCCCCAACCCCCAACCCCCAACCCCTCGCCGAATCCCTCAACCCCTCTCCCCGCCACCCCCATGCACCCTTCCCCACCCCCTCCCCCCGCGCGGAACGCACTTGCAGCGGAGGCGGCCCTCCTCATCGGCGCGCAGCAGCTGGTTCGCCAGCGACCGGCTCTCCATCGCCACCTCCAGCGCCCCCCGCGCTCCTCCGCCTCCCCCGCTTCCGCCCCCCCCGCTTCCGCCTCCCCTGCTGCCGCCGCCCCCCCTTCCGTCTCCCCCGCTGCCGCCTCCCCTATGCCCCGACACACCCAGCCACTCCTCGTCCCCCAAACCCAACCCTGCTGCTTCCCGAGCCTCCGCTTCTCGTTCGGGATCATCGTCGTCTCGACTGGGCTGGTTATATTCGTCGGAGCCCTCCCGTTCTGCTGACGTGTCGCCTACCGATTTGCTGCTGCGCGCTTGCTGCGCGGAAGGTATACTGAAGCCCGGGGAGTGACTAGGCGTGCGGTGTGATTCTAACGGGTGCGAATTAACCCGCCCACTTGCATAATAGTCCGCATATTCCGCATCTCCCCCGTCTCTCCGCAAGTCATCCCCTCCCCCCATGCTTCCGCCGTCGTCCCCGGACTCGTCGCTCCCCCCGTACTCATCCGCATGCTCCTCTTCCCCCGCGCCATTCCCCCGCGCGGACAGACAGCGCAACCGGCGCGCACCGATGGAGCGGGCGGGGGAGAAGCAGGAAGGGGAGAAGCGCGGAAAGGCTGCGGTGGCGGAGGGGGAGGGCGGGGAAGGGGGTCCGCGCGGGTGGTCGCGGTAGGAGACGGAGGGTGAGATGAAGAGGAACCGCGGAACGGACGCGTTGGAAGGGGAAGGGGGAGCGTCCATGGCGGCGGGCGGGACGGCGTCGCGCGTGAAGAGACGAATATTGAGGCACCTAGAGAATCGTCACGAGCGCGTGGCGTGAGGGGCGGGTTCAGGCGCGAGGGCGCGGCTGAGGTGGCGCGAGGAAAGGCTGCTTGGTTGAACTGGCGTGTTGCGGTCAAGTGTCAGGATGCACGATTCTGTCCATGTCATGTGATCATGGGATGGGATGCTTCGCGCGCCTGTCGTTTTCATGTAACAACCGCGTTACTCCCATGTGAAGTTCCTACACTGAGTATCTTTATCCAAACAATTAATCACAAACGGATCTACACTACATTGCAAGGTGGTCCTTTGGCACACATCAATAACAGAATTAGCAAATTCTCATTTCAGCACACTATGAGATGAGACATGGACAGTGGAAATCTTAATCTCCTTGGTGTATGCACATGCCACTACACCCAAAATCTCGAACACATGCGCGCATTGACTTGCCACCCTAAAAACGACCACCACGGAAACCACCACCCCTCCCCCTGAATCCCCCCCCTCCACCCCGAAACCCTCCCCCTCCCCCTCTCCCCCTGAACCCACCTCCTCCACCCCTTCCCCCTCCCCTGAATCCCCCTCGCCCCCCTCCACGACCCCCCCTGCCTCCCCGGCCTCCAAAGCCCCCTCTCCCCCCTGCACTGGCACCCCTGCACTCATGAGGGGGGAAGAACAGGTGGAAGGGGCGAGAGAGGAGGGAGACAAATGGAGAAAGATAATTGGGTGAAGAGTAAAAAAGGAAGGAATACAAGGAATAGACAGAGGTGAGTCAGGGAAAGACCATGTAGCACCTCATCCCAGAGTGCACCACCCACCCGCACCACCCAGCACCGCACTCAACCCCCCTGTACTGTACTCACTTAGGCTGCGGCAGGAAGCGCTGCAGCGGCAGCAGCTTCATGGGGTCAACATTGCCACCACCAATTCACACCACCCAGTACCGCACTCAATCCCCCTACACTCACTTGGGCTGCGGCAGGAAGCGCTGCAGCGGCAGCAGCTTCATGGGGTCAACATTGCCACCACCAATTCACACCACCCAGTACCGCACTCAATCCCCCTACACTCACTTAGGTTGCGGCAGGAAGCGCTGCAGCGGCAGCAGCTTCATGGGGTCAACATTGCCACCACCAATTCACACCACCCAGTACCGCACTCAATCCCCCTACACTCACTTGGGCTGCGGCAGGAAGTGCTGCAGCGGCAGCAGCTTCATGGGGTCAACATTGCCACCACCAATTCACACCACCCAGTACCGCACTCAATCCCCCTACACTCACTTGGGCTGCGGTAGGAAGCGCTGCAGCGGCAGCAGCTTCATGGGGTCGATGAAGAACTTGTCCCCCGGCGAGTAGGACGTCGCCACCACCCCCTCCTGCATCTTTATCGAAAAATACTGCACACGGTGGAAAGGAGGAGGGGAGGAGGGGGGGGGAGGGAAGAAAGGGAAAGAGCGCAGCAGGGACAGAGAAAAAGATGAGGGCGGGGAAACAGCGAGTAAGACGTCGCCACCTGCCCTCCTGAATCTTTATCGAAAAATATTTCAGGAAAGTGGGGAAGGCGGGGATCAGCCGCCTTAAAAGTAGATTAAGGTGAGCAAGTTTGCATTCGAAGTTGACTAGAAAACATACACGAGGTAGATGGGCGCGTTGATTGGAGTACAGCACCTTGTCGCCCACCGTCAGCCGCAATCAGCCCCCACCTCACCGCACTCAACCCATCTTCACCGCACTCAACCGCACTGACCGGCTCGTTGATGGGGCCGAAGATCTCCTCGACCTTGCCGATCTGCGTCTTGTTCTCGAGGTAGATGGGCGCGTTGAAGTACGGCACCTTCTCTCCCACCGTCAGCCGCGTCACCGCCTCGCCCTCGCACGCGTGCATGAACGTCGACACCTCTGCACGCGCGACGCACGGGAGGTGCGCACGGGGAGTGAGCGTCATGCACGGGGGCACAGAGGATAAGGGCGCAGACGAGACGAAGCGAACAGGGCCACATCACCTCCCGCAATAAACACTGTAATCAGACCTCCCCCGCAATCGCCTCTTTACACTTTCTTCGTGGCCCACCACCATAAACCGCCGCCACGAGCGATTCTAAGACGACCCAGCCAACTCTCTGACTATTCGTTCCCTACATTCCCCTCGTCGCCCCTCGCCGTTCCTCGCCCCACCCAAACAGGTCGCTGCTTACCCACAACGTGGGACGGCGGCCCCTCATCCCGTTGAAAGCCGCCTCTTCCGCCGCCTCTTCCGCCGAAACCCCCGCCGCGACCTCCGAATCCTCCGCCGCCCCTCCCCCTGAAGCCTCCGCCGCGCGGTGGCCGCATGATGCGCTGAGTTTAATTAAAGCGCCGAAAACGGGGACGGCGAAATGGGGACGTGCGATTCGAGCCAAGGCTTAAACCTCCCACCCGCAGCAAAATCGCAGAGAGACGGTCGTCGAAAAATGTGAATACTAAGCGCAGTTGCGGCAAAAGATATATAAGCTTATTCGTTAAGATTTCCCAATGGTGTCGCGCCGTGGAGGGGAGGCGCAGAGCAGGAACAGGAATAGGGCGGAAAGAGAGGTACCTAATGGCGGTGGGGTAGGATATGGCGGCAGTTGGGCCAAGCAGAATGGAGAGTTTCGCTGCAAAGAAGATTGCTTGAACGGCTGAGAATCAAGATACACGTACAAATTAAAACATTCTTGATGTGCTGTATAGTATTACAACCTGATCATCCCTTTTGTTAGCCTGTCTGAAGCAGGGCCCACGTTATCAGTGTAAATCACCCTGATGCCCTGACTAGAAGGGTGATTTTTGGTAGTAACACTGCTGCCATTGGGTAATTTTTTTGGAACCTTGATTTACCCTGATGTGCCGGGTTTTAAGATTAAGGAACACTGTCGCCTCAGGGTTGCCGTTCCACTTATCGAGGTTTACCCTGAAGCGTGTACCAGCCCCCCCCTCCCCCCCCCCCCCCCCCCCCCCCGTCACCTAACCACCCGACCCCGAAACCAGACGGCCGGCGAAAACAGTGGCTCTGCCGACCCCAGCGGAACGAAAAGGCAAGGAGAAAGTGCCGGAGCCAGAGGAGGACAGTGAGCACGAGCAACAACCGTGTGGCATGTCTGATGATGATGATTAAGCTTGTTATTGTGTGCTGTGTTAATAACAACTGAAACAGGGTTTTGCGAATTGGTACACTGATGCCTCAGGGTAGTCGTTTTAATACATGCAAAAACCCTGACGCATCAGGTTTTCCACAACGGGTAACCCTGAAAATCAGGTTTTTGAACAGGTGCTAGACTGATCGTAAGGGTTGGTCAAAACCAAAAATGAGCCCTGGTCTGAAGGTTATAATATATTTCACAAGAGGATGGCAAGAATGATCCATATGAAATGGATTTCAATAATATTTATTATTATTTCTATCATTAACCTAGGCTGATTTCGAATGGTTTAGCGTGTATATTCATGTGGCGCCTTAGATTTTAGGGTCACAATTGTACCGAACTACACCAGTGAAATATCTACGCTGGACTCTGTTGCAAATATACGGTACCTGAAGTTCTCACAATTGCTCTTCACCGCATTGCACCCTGGTCATTGCAGTCATCATCCCACAGCGCCACGTTTGAATCCGCGAAAGTCCCCAAGGATTCTATAGATGGGCCTCGGGGTGGCGCGAATCCCGATCTGTGATATGCTTTTTCTATGGTGATTCTACGGACCATACCACACACCTGATCACAGTTCTCCATAAGCGTGTCGCACGGACGGCGCGTTCTTCGATCGCGGCCGCCGTTCGACTTAGCATCATTGACTCCTCGCGTCGAAAGAATCTAGAATTCTATGTTTGCGTGCTGGCTCGTAACGATTCGTGAGCGCGGGTAACACCACGAAGGCGGCAGCAGCGTGATGGCGAACGATAGCGATAGGGAGGGTCAGACAGACACGGGCAGGGCGCTGCGGGTGGTGTCGCTGCTGGGAGCGGCGAGCGAGGTGATGGCGGCGCTAGGGCTGGCGCATCTGCTGGTGGGCCGGTCGCACGAGTGCAAGTTCCCGCCGTCGCTTCTCGCGCTGCCGTGCGTGTCGTCGCCCGCGCTGGGGCCGGATCTCGAGCAACAGAGCTGTGCGACGGTGCACGACAGGGTGAGTCGCAGAGCTGTGCGATTGCGACAAGAGGTTGAGCAGCGGGCAAGAGAAGGTGGCGTAGATATTTTCGAAAATGCATAGTGGAGTTTCATTCAACCACTAGCGTGAAATGACCGCATTTGCGTAGACAGGGTGGATCGCAGCCTCCCCCCTCTCCCCTCTCCCTTTTCCCCCTTGCGTAAAACCGAATCGCAGCTGTCGGAGCGCGTGCGCAAGGGCCTGTCGCGGTACCACGTGGACGTGGAGGCGATTCGGCGGTTGCAGCCGGATGTGATTATAACGCAGGACGCGTGCGACGTGTGCGCCGTGACTGCATCGGACCTCCAGGCGGCGTGCGCGGAGTACTTCGCGCAGCGCGACGACGCGGGGCGCGCGTGCCACGTGGTGTCGCTGCGACCAATGAGCGCGTCCGACGTGTGGGACAACATGCTTCAGATCGCCACGGCGGTCGGGCACAGCGACAAGGGCCGCGCGCTTGTGGAAGATTTACAGGCGCGCTGGGCGCGCGTGCGCGCGCAGGTTCCGCGGGGCGCGGAGGGGGCGTGCGCGCGCCCGCGTGTGGTGTGCCTGCAGTGGGTGCGGCCGCTGATGGGCGCGGGGTACTGGGTGCCCGAGATCGCCGCGTGCGCTGGCGGGGAGAGCCTCTCGGGGAAGGTGAGACTCGGGGAGGTTGCATGGGGGGAAGGTTTATGGGAAACATGTGAAGCGGTATGAGAAAGGCAAGGGACTGGGGGGAGTGGGAAACACGGCCATTCTTTTTCCCGTGCGCTCTTGGTGTGCCTGCGATGACTGCAGCCTTCCCTTTCTCCCCCCCTTCCACCCTTGAATGCCATTTCTCCATCGGCCCACACCGTTTTCCGTTCCCTACCATTCACTTCCTTTCTCTCAGCCCAACCCCCCTGTATTTGCCCCTTTGCCACCCACCCCCTTTTCCTACCCCTCCCCCCGCCCTTATCAGCCTGGGGAACGTACTGCAATACTCTCCTTTGAGGCCCTTGTCTCTCTCGATCCGGACGTAATCATCACCATGTGCTGCGGCCTTTCAAAAGAGGCCATTCTGAAGGAGCTCCTGACCTCTGAGGATTTGCCGCAGTGGAACCGGTTGAGAGCGGTGCAGAGGGATGCGGTGTTTGTGGCGGATGGGGACCGATACTTCAACAACTCAGGGCCCACCCTTGTTGAATCTGCTGAGATCATGCTGGAGATGCTGCATGCTCACCGCTTCCAACCACACAGAACCGCATCGAACCACTCCGATGGTGCGGTTGCCGCCGGTGCCCCTGGTGGTGCTGGTGCGGATGACACTACTCCTCTTCGCTCCTGCCTCCCCAGCTCCAATGCCAATGGCTTAGTGTGTCAAGAAGGAGAGAAGATCCCAGGGGTTGAGGTCAAGTATGAGGGGACGGCCTACACGCACCTGACAGGCGGGTGTGTGGAGGCTTGGCGCGCTTCCGTGGGATGGCAGGCCTGACCTGTAGGGAGGGGGCAATTTCCGTCATTGCTGCTGTGCTCTGGACCAAGAGCGTGTGACCATGGAGCCAGGGGGCGTGGGAGAAGAGCAGGGTGGAAGCTAGACCATCTCTCAGCAAGCTCGTTGTTAATGCAGCAAGAGTTCAGGGGTGCAGTATCGGGCGATGTTGCGCTAGCTGGGGTGTACGTGCAGAATCGACGCAGAATAAATTGGATAGTTGAGGAAGCACCCCTCCAATTGCATGAGCAAATAAGGAATGGATATCGGTACAACTAGATTGACAATGGTGAAGTGCGATCACAAAAGTGTTCAAGCTCCGTTGCAACGTCGAGGAGTCTCTCATCCTCATTCCACATCCCAATAAGCGTGACTCCCACGGGAAGATAATCTTTTTTACTCTCCCCTTTGCTCTCATCAGCAGTACCAGTGCCACCCTCGTGTGTGCAGCTGCCAGCAGCAGCACTCCCAGGTGAACCAGCAGCAGCAGGTGTGAGGGCGACGGGCACGGTGACAGTGGGCAGGCCAGCATGGCTCCAGGGGATGGAAATGATGGGATCTCCTGCCGTGCCTGCTCGGGAGGTGGGCGCATGAGACGAGAGGGGCAGCGTCACTTTTGAGACATCTCAAAAACCACATCTCAAGGCACTCATGACAACCACACATCTCACTAGCAGGAGTGGCCGCAGGCATGAGTATCAGCAACAATAGAGACCAGGGTAATAGTTCGGTCAATTCCCCGTGTTCCTCACACCTTGATGGATGGGTGGAGGGAAGCCGGTGGCAGCAGGGGCAATGAATGCCTCAGCACCTTCCTGCCTCAGCTGCTGCTGCAGTGCATGCCGCAGCGCCACACACGATGCTGCCGCCTCCTCCTCTGTCACCCCCCGCCCAGTGGCGACCAGCTCCATGAGCTGGCGCGGAAAAGAAGGGGCGTCAAAGTCTTTCAAGTCAACTCAAAACTCTCCTCCTTGGTCACCCTGTGCCCCGTTGTGACCAGCTCCATGAGCTGTAAAACCGGAAGAGGAAGTGGGGAAGTGGGCGCGGGGAGGAAGATTGGGGGGAAACTGGAAAACGTTCCGATTGCAATGAATGCTGGCCAAAATAGTGCCGCCATTCGCCCCCCCCACCAATGCTCACGCTGTCGCGCATCGCGCAGCTCTGCGACTCACCCTATTGCGCAGCTCTGCGACTCAACCTATCGCGCACCTCTGCGACTCACCCTATCGTGCAGCTCTGCAACCACCCTGTCGCGCATTATCGCACAGCTCTGCGATTCACCTTGTCGTGCACCGTCGCACAGCTCTGCTGCTCGATATCCGGCCCCAGCGCGG